ATGTAGATGAGTTTGTTTCTTCTTCAGAACAGATTTGGAGAAATTTAGCATTACATCACTTTGAGGGGTGAGAACCAGAAGGGCGTAAGTGACATTTTGGGTGAAATATATATATATATATATCAAATGAAAGCTATTGGTGAGCTCTTTCTACTGCCCAAAGGACACAAGTGAATTCATAACAATTTTGGAGTTATTCATTAGAAACCAAAAGACTTAACACTGAAAATACTAAGCCAGTTGTTGCCAAAAGGGCATAACTGCACTTACTCCACTTTGGCATTGAGAAATGTATGGAGGGTAAAGCCTGTGTATAGCACATGAGTCAAAGTAAGCCTGGTAGGTCAACCATGAGAAGACGACAGTTTTTAACTACTGAATCTGTATTAAGCTTATTTTGTGACAAAGAGCTGGATGTTGATGGAGAAAATTAAAATATCCAGCATTCAATGTCAGTGAGGTGTAGCTAGCTAGCAGGTAGTAACCAACAACTTACATTCTAATGGGATATCATATAGGCACTCAGTTACTGCTTAGCCACGAGAGAGAATGCAGAGAAGGGATTATTTATAGGCACTCAGTTACTGCTTAGCCACGAGAGAGAGAATGCAGAGAAGGGATTATTATTATTATTATTATTGTTAATAATAATTAGTTATGCAATTCATTACTTCAGTATCATTCAGGTAATGGTATTTGCTATCATATTTTTTTTATTAAAAACCCTAGTAAAATAGTAATGTACTGTATTGAAAATACATTTTTCATGCTCGTTCTGTTTTACTGTTTACTGACATATCACTCTATACTTATATAAATATAGAAATTATAATTCGGTAATGGTATTTGCTATCATATTTTTTTTATTAAAAACCCTAGTAAAATAGTAATGTACTGTATTAAATACATTTTTCATGCTCGTTCTGTTTTACTGTTTACTGACATATCACTCTATACTTATATAAATATAGAAATTATAATTAAACTTTATCTGGAGTACTACTTGTGCACAATGGACATTTCTCAATATTAAGCCTCAAATGTGTTTTAATGTCACTATTGATGAGGATTGTATGATCTTTGATTAATATTTAAATGCAAGATATTTAAAGTGTACCTAAAGTATACTTGCAATAGTTCCAGTTTTAACACAATCAAATATAGTTCAGTATACCTTTAGTTGGACTTCAGCACTGCTTTCTTACAATTAAAGTGCATTAAGTGCAAAATTAGTTTATTCCAATTTAGCAGACTTTAAGTATACCAGTTTAGTAATATGAAAATATGTAAATGTATTTGTAGTATACTTAGCATGAAATAAATGTATCTCAAATACATTTTTGTATTTTTAAGGTATCTGTAAAGGCTTTTCAATCGCCCATTTGGCCAAATAGTTAAGTGGCTTTTTGAAATATTTACGGTAGGAAATTTACAAAATATCTTCATGGAACATGATCTTTACTTAATATCCTAATGATTTTTGGCATAAAAGAAAAATCGATAATTTTGACCCATACAATGTATTTTTGGCTATTGCTAAAAATATACCCCAACGACTTAAGACTGGTTTTGTGGTCCAGGGTCACATTTGATCACAATAGAATGTTATTTGTTTTAAACTCATTAATGAAATGCTTTGTTCATATTCTCATCAGATGTGCCCATGTTTTTATAAACCAAATGGAATAAAACATTGGTGCCAAAAAGGCACATGTGACGTTTTTTTTTTTTTCTGAATAAATGTTAGTGTTCAATAAGTATACTGTCATCCATGTGTGTATAATTTTTATTTTTCTAAATAAATGTTAAAATAGTGTTCAATAAGTATACTGTCATCCATGTGTGTACAATTTTTTTTTTTTTATTATAAACTATTGAAATCAGTACACAAATTCAGATCAAACTATGGTAAATAATTGTTTTGGCCCTGCTGTAAAGTTGGTGAAATGTCTCGACTTGCTCTGCAGTGAATGAAGTCCAAACAGCTGAGAAAAACATCACACTCCAGTCCATCAGTTAATGTCTTGAAAAGCAAAATGCTGCATGTTTGAAAGAAACAAATCCGTCATTAAGATATTTTTAACTTCAAACATGGCTTCTGGCTAAAATCCTCTACCCATAAGGATTCCAGAGTAATATTGTGAAAAAGTCGTCTCGCTTAAATCAGGAGAGAAATATGCACAGATCAAGCACTGTTTACAAGAGAAAACAGCACTGAACAAATGTCAGTAGACTTTGACGCGAGACAACAATAGGGGATGGACTTTTTCACTGGAGGAAGCATCATTATGGGTTATGGCGAGAAATGATGGTTTGAAGTTAAAATGCCTTTATGGATTTGTTTCTTAAAAACATGTGGCTTTTAACTTCACCAGATGTTAATTCATTATTGTGATGTTTTATCAGCTGTTTGGACTCTTATTCTGACGGCACTCATTCACTGCAGAGGATCCATTGACAATTGGTGAACAAGTGATGTAATGCTACATTTCTCCAAATCTGTTCTGATGCAGAAATAAACTCGTCTACATCATCAATGACCTGAGGGTGAGTACATTTTCATTTTTCATTCACCCAAAAATTTAAATTCTGTCTTCATTCACTCCAAACCTGTATGACTTTTGTTCTTCTATGGAACACAAAAGAAGACATCTGAAAGCCTTTCTGTAATATTGCAAAAACTAAAATGCAATGTCAATAATATACTACAAAGCAAACTCGCATTCAAATCTAGCTTCATTCTGGTCTGGAACAGCAACTTTGCACAATCCAGTCAGTTAGTAGATATTCTGCTCTACTCAGAAACACATAATGTTAAGGTACTGTATAGTAGTGTACAAAAATATCCAAACTCTGTGTTTCTAAAGCAGTTGCTATTAGAGCAGTGTTTTTTTGTTGTTTTTTTTTTAGCTTAAAAAACATCAACATGCAATGTCTTGGGAATTGCACCAGGAGCATTTTCACAGTTTTTCGTAGTCTTGAATGTTGTGCTTTGTGTCGGTATGAGGTGCAGATGCGAGATGCAAGCGAGACTGCCTCTCACCCAGAACAGCATTTAATTGCTGTTGATTACCAGCATTACGGAGATAATTGTTCGATTCTATGGTTCATATTGGAGCTTTTGGGGATAATTTGCGCTGTTTTAATGTGTGTGTATTGACTTGATAAACTGGTTTCTCCAGGGAATTAAGAAACAGCTCTTCTCTCTGCAGGGGGCTTGAGGGAATCAGCCAGTCCTGAAATTGCCAGTCCTAATTTCACTTCTTGACTTCACGTCACTCCTTATGCACTTTTAGCTCAAGTATTTATCTTTAAAACATATTCAAAATGATTTCTGTAACTAGGAATAACTAGCTTTTGCTACAGCTTGGTTTTTACTTGACTGCAGTCTTTTACCAGTGGCAGTTTTACAATTTTTAACAACTTGCACAAACCAATTAGCTGTAAAAATCCAAACTTTCCTGTACAGTATGTGTTCTTTTTTTATTTGGAAAGCTCTGATTCCTGGCTTTGTGGAGACACAACATAGGGTGATAGTAGTTTGTCTGCTCCATACGATATGAAAGCAGAACATGACTTCAGCAGTCAGCAGAGCAGAATGTGTTCATGTGGATTTAGTGCAACATGCTCATTTGTGAGACAAAGAGTCAATTTTCCATCTGTGCCTCCGTCTCTGGGGTGTGTGCAGATGAAAATCCGCTGCCATCAAACACCTTTCAGCATCACTTGCTGCGACACACAAGGCGCTCCCAAAAATAGGATGCGTGTGGTTGTGCATGCGGGGCACGTCTGCTTTAAAGAGCCCGTAAAAGATGAATCATCTGCACATCAGACGCTTTTTTAGAGGTGACGTAGAGACTATCTGAAGATCCACCCAACCACTCAACAATTCAATTTTTTCCTTCCATTTTGCAAATAGGTGCATATAGTTAAACCACTTGAAACCACTATAGACTGTCTGCAGAATCTGGGGTCCCATTGCATTTGAACTTATTTGAACTCATAACTTCATTGAGATGGAATGCAAAGTGTGGATAATAATTTCTTTAATAACAAAAATAAACATTATTGTATCATAGTATATGGCTATTTGCCATTGTACTGCGGTGGCTGACATACTTTTGACATGTTTTGGCAATTTGAAATTGTACTGCAGATGTGCTTAACTTCTCAAACTGTTTTAACCAGCATTTTATCATAATGAGCTTACATTATTTAAAATACTATATTGAATATTGTACTAATTCCATTGTAAAATTTCACCTGTTACACTGCTAGTGAACTAGCAATTAAAAATGGTGAAAAACTTGCCCAAAAAAATGCAGTCCATCTCCACCATCTAAAATATACACTTTTTCTTAAACATTCATATGCATTTTAAAATTGTGATGTTGATTCGCGCATTAACTACCCACTTGGTTCACTTGTTTTTCAGACCATTTGGCAGGCAAAGGTTGGAAAGAAACTGTTGACAAAACCATGGTTTACTAATTCTTTAAGAAACAAAGCTCAAAGCTTTATATATATATATATATATATATAGCTTCATTTTATGGCACAACTTGTTTTACATTTTAGATTTACATTTACATGTATGCATTTGGCAGACGCTTTATCCAAAGCGACTTGAATTGCAATTAAGGTATATACATTAAAATTGAAATGGATATTGGAATAGAATTTTTTTTTTTTTTAAAGAAAATATATATATATATATATAATCACGGATTTTCAGTGATGTCAGTTTTGGACCCAGTCATGAATATAGACCTACTTTCTGGAGCGCCTGGCGGTTTCGCGCTGTTATCCTTGTTATATTTAAACTGAGAGGATAATTTAAAAGCGTGACATCACGAAGAACACTCCGAGAGCCTCTGTGACACATTCAGTAGTTGGTAAGTGAGACCAGTAGGGGGTCGGATCGCTTTCCCATGAACTCCAGCCTCCAGCCCAAGGTCGGTCTCAGTGCTGCATGAACGCACGTCAAGAGAGGGAGGACACTTCCCTCTCCAACATCAAACGCGAGGGATGCGCTTCATCGCCTTAGGGGACTGGATGGATGGAGCGACAGGGTCATGAAGGTGACCACAACCTCTGGGTTGGATTTAGGGGGCTGTTACCGCAGAAGGAGCCTATCCATAATTAATAAGAGCGAGTCGGAGATCCTAGAACCGAAGCGCAACCACCGGCGAGTCATGTCACAAACTGACAGCGCTTCCAGAGGAGCTGACGAGGAAGACAAAGGAGGATGAAGGAGGCAGAGGAGGATTATAATGAAGCTGAGTGGCAAAGGACTGTGCACCATCGTCTCCAGCAGTCTGCTCTTCGTGTGTGCCGTGAGCGCTGTGGTCGTGGGATTCAGATGCATCGCGTTGGGCTCCAGGGTGCGAGCGCACTTCCATCTGGCCACCACGGCCGGTGCGTTCTACTCGGGCATCCTGGTGACTCTCGGGCAGGTCCTGATGGGGGTGGCGCTGGTATTTTGCCGGGGCAACCCCAGGTGTGCGAATTTCTTCCTCTTTGGGATCTTAGTGTTTCTTTTGGGGGTCCTGACGGCGTTCTCGGGCGCGGTGGTGGATGGCGACACGGTGTCCCTGGTGGAGAGGAAGTACGCGCACTATTGCCTGGACTCTGTGGATGTAAACCCGGCGTGCGCCCGGCTCAAGGTGTACCAGCGGGGCTTGGTGGTCTCCGCTATCCTTAACACTCTGGAGTGCCTCCTGGGACTGATGAACCTGGTGATCATTAAGCGTTACCAAACGGCGCAGTTTCACCGGAGACGCCGGACGCAGAGGCGGAGCGTGCGGATCGTCCTGAACGAGGAACGAGACTTCGCGGTCACGGAGTTCCAGCCGGTATCCTACATTAACCTGGGGGTGGTTCACGCGTTGGACGAGGCGGACGGGGAGGTGCAGAGCCGGGGCCACCCGTCCATGGTGCTGCCGGGCTATTCGCCCACAAATCCGGAGCTTAATCACACGTTCCCGTTTTCTTACCCGCTTCACAGCGAGTTGCCACCTGCCTACGAGGACATATTCCCTGGAGAAGCGAGCAGCAAATAGCAAAGGAGAGGAACCGAGATGCAGTTTTGCAATGACAATCACGCATTCGGCACGCTGAACTTGGAATTGATTATTTCTATATAAATGGTGACCAGCTGTTGCCGAATGTACTTTTTATTAATTGGAGGTTACAGCCAACACTCGAAATCCTACAGTTGTTCATAAACTACGAAACGAACCTTTGAGAAGATAAACGCACTGAAAGGATTAAATATACATGCAATTTTTTTTTTTTGACCCTCCTGATTGTATTCTCAGTTCATCCCTTGTCTAAATCACAAGGGTTTGTGTACAGGATTCCCATTGGAATTTTTGATTTCTTAGAGTATTCCAGCAGGGCACAAAACAAAAATAAGTTACCAATTGGGCAAGAAGAACATTTGAGAAGGTAAACTTACTGGAAGTATGCATTATTTAAATATACATGGAACATTTGTTTTTTGACCATCCTGATTGATTGTATTCCCAATTACTCCCTAGTCAAAATCCTAAAGGCTGGTGTACAGGATTCTTACAGAGTTTTTTTTTTGTTATAATTGACCCTAAAGGATTTATTTTATAGTATTCCAGCAGGACACAAAACAATAAGTTCCCAGTCGGACAAAAAGAGCCTATGATAAAAGGTAAATTGAAAGAATTTAAGAATGCATGCAACATTTGTTTTCTGACTGATTGTATTCCCAATTCATTCCTAGTCAATGTCCTAAAGGTGTGTGTGTGAGTGTGATGATGATGATGATTCAGAACCAATCATTTAGAACCAGAATCATAATTGTGTTAGTATTCCAACAGAAAACAAAACAAGAAAAACAATATTCCCAGTAGGGCTATTATAATTTACAACAAGATTAAATGTCCCTGTAGGACATCAAAATTATTCTGAAAAGCCTACACTTATATTCAGCCTCGTGATTTGTTTATAATCACTTCATCCCTGATGTTTCAGACAAAAAGCCATTGCTGTTGGCGACATTAAAATGACAGGCGTTACCCATCAGACAGAAAATTTCTGCTTCGCAGTGTTGTGGCTGTGGGATATTATTAATGTTTCTGCATCATGTTGTTCCAGAGTAATAGGAGAACATGCAGTTCTTCTCTTTTCAGCAGTTAATGTCCAGCTTGTCAGTTGCTAGTTGTATGGTTATCCTCTAGTGCAGGGGTGTCAAACTCAATGGAGCCCCACAGAGTTTATATTCAACCCTAATTAAACACACCTGATTCAACTAATCAAGTCCTTCAAGGTTATTTGAAAATTACATGGTATGTGTGTTGGAGCAGGGTTGGAACAAAACTGTGCAGGGCTGGAATTGAGTTTGACACCCCTGATCTAGTGTATTCATTGGAGGTTACCGCCAACACTTAAAGCCATTGACGTTATTATTTAATTAGTTTTTTGACTGTTTTCGCGACTGACTGTTTTCCTAGTTCAATTTTAGCGCATTTGTGCAGAATCTCAATTTTTATAGTCCAACAAAAAACACAAAACCAAAAGAATTTCCCATCAGGACCAAAAAAGTACCAGTAACAGCTAGCTATCATTGTCCAGTAGCAAGAAGCCCATTAAATTCCAAAATAGCACTCAAAGAATCAAATAAGAATTCCCGTAGGAATTTCACTTTAACATCAGCACTAAATTATGACTGAAGTTTCATTGGGAATCCTGTACACTAATTTTTTTGACTAGGGATGCACATGTATTGTCTTGGTGTGGCTCTGTTGTTTTCTCTCATATTGCTTAAGTTTAGCTTCTGAATAAAAGGTGTATATTTACTCTCTCCTGATGTTGCTGTTGAGTTCAGGTTAACTAACACGTTTGTGTATGCAGTGCTTCTCGGGAGGTGACAGCATGTCTGCCTGCAGCAGATGTTGCCATGGTTCCTTGACTTTTTTCTACCTGCGTGTAATTAGATATGTAACAACCCAGTCTTTGAAATGCAGATTTTCTTGGTTTGTCAAGTTTAATCTGGTTTACAAAGCAAAGCAGTTTGTTTAATGTAACAAACACATTCATACGTTTCAGTTTAGCGTTTTAGAAAGATCTCTTTGAGTCTATCTGAATAGATTTCACTGAATGCCACAGGGACATTTTCAAAGAGCTGCGCTTTTCCTCTGAGCTATTGTATGCATTACAAACACGCCGAGAATACGCCTGAGTCCGGTAATTATTCTGAGTGGATATTATATGCTTTGGCACAACACCAAAGCCTCTGATGAGGCTTTTTCTGATTAAAGAGACAAGCTTTTGTCTGAGACGTTACTGGAGCTGGACATAGAATGGGGTCTAAAAGTTTGAGACCACGAGTGAAAGTGCTTCTGTTTTCCTAATGTTGTTTGCTTTAATGACAGCAGCTCTGAAAGCCTGATGATCATGTTCTCCAGAATGATTTGAGATGGTCTAAAAAGCATTTTGAGATTTATAGGATATGTGCAAATCATCTTAGCCTGAATATACACTACCTTGTGAAAATTTTTTTTTTTACAATTTAAAAGAACAGTTTTCTATTTGAATATATTTTCAAATGTAATTTAATCCTGTGAGTCAAAGCTGAATTTTCAGCATCATTACTCCAGTCTTCAGTGTCACATCCTTCAGAAACCATTCTAATATGCTGATTTGCTGCTAAAGAAACATTTCTGATTATTATCAAAACAGTTGTGCTGCTTCATATTTTTTATATGCTTCATATTTCAGCATTTATTTGAAAAAGAAATCTTTCATAACATTATAAATGTCGCTGCTTGCTGAATAAAAGTATTAGTTTCTTTCTAAAAAAAAAAAAAAAAATCATACTTACCCCAAACTTTAACAAAAGACACCTAAACATAGAATTTATGTCATATTTTCTTAGTTTTAATTTGAAAAACCGGAACTGTTTTCCAGCTTTAAATGAAGAAAAAAAAAACTTAGATATCAGACTTGATCTTAAACTTGATCTCAGGCTTTTGGATCCTACTGTATATCTTGTAGACATTATCTGCAGTTTAAAATATGTTTTAGATGATTTTCTTTAACACCGAAACCCCTTTAGCCTGTTTGAAGCTTGTAGTGAGTGATGGTGGACAGTACAAGTGAACAAATCTTTCATGTTAAGTGTATTTTTATGAAAGGCCTAAAATGAGACATCTTATCCTCAGCCTTGTGATTTGTTTTCCTCTTCCCTGAAATGTCAGACAAAAAGCCATTGCTGTTGGCGACATTAAAATGACAGGAGTTACCATTCAGACAGAAAATGTATGCTTAGCAGTGTTGTGGCTGTGGGATATTATTAATGTTTCTGCATCGTGTTGTTCCAGAGTAATAGGAGAACATGCCCCCTTATGTTTAGCTGAAACGCACAAACGGCAATGCTTCTCTTTTCAGCATATCCAACTTGATAGTTGCTGGAGTTGTTTGGTTAGAAAGATGTTTTATGGTGTAGTTACCATTTCTGCCACCAGGGGCAAATGGAGCCATGTTAAAGGAATAGCTCACCCAAAATTGAAACTTTACTGAGAATGTACTCACCCTCAGGCCAGCCATCATGTAGATGAGTTTGTGTCTTCATGGGAACAGATTTGGAGAAATGTAGCATTATATCACTTGCTCACCAGTGGATCCTCTGCAGTGATTGTGAATGGGTGCCGTCAGAATGAGAGTCCAAACAGCTGATGATAAAAACATCACAATAATTGGACTGGAGTGGTGTGGATTGCTTGTGGATTATTGTGATGTTTTTATCAGCTGTTTGGACTCTCATTCTGACGGCACCCATTCACTGCAGAGGATCCATTGGTGAACAAGTGATGTAATGCTACATTTCTCCAAATCTGTTCCAATTAAGAAACCAACTACATCTACATCTTGGATGGCCTGAGGGTGAGTACATTTTCAGCAAACTTTAATTTTTGAGTGAAAGGTTTCTTTAACTAGTGAACTTGAATATCAGATGTGAATGAATGGTGGCACTCAGGTAATTCATTGAAATCTGCCTCATGGATGATCGCCTTTATCTAGTGGCGACTGTTGCATTTTTTTATGTCATGGTTTTCTTCACAATGTCACCCTTCTCCTGTATGATATGCTACTAAGCTCTAACAGTTCACATTTACAGTGCATATATACTTCCCAATTTCCCCAAGAGAATTTGCTCATCATTAATAGAACTAAAAGAGCTCTGACTATGTATTAATAGCCTAGAAGGGAAACGATGCCCCTCTGAAAATGGCAGTCATGCAGAATAACAACTGCACGATGGGAAACCGAATACCGTCATTGTGTTTCTGGGGTGTAAGAAGCTTCAAACTGTGAAAAGTGCCTTTAAAGATATATTTTGATAAAAATTTCATAGGGGTGACTTAAGGTAAGGAAAAATGGTCAAAAGTACATCTAAATTTAGGTTACATCCACTGGAAATGTTCTTGAAGGTCAGTGAAAGTTCTGAAATTGGTTGCACTGTAGACTTTTCTATTCTTTTATGGTAGATCTTCAGAAATAGTTTAATTTAGCTAATGGAAGTGAGCGATGTGAAATGCAATTTACTTGTTGCCTCATTCTCAGCCCATTTTCTGTTATCTATTATTCAAATGACCAGGACAAGAAATCACAATGTTCTGCCTATTTAATTTATTATGTTTTTTTTTTTTTTGCACGTATCTGCCTGTGGCCTTTAATTTTGATAATGAAAATATACAATCTAGTGGTTATTGCTTATTTGTCTGACAAAAATGACTGTTTATGGCCTTTCCCCTAGAGTATATAAGTCAATTGTCTGAGATATCATGATTTCTCTATCATTGTTGTTACTCTTCAGATTCATTCCTGTAAAGAGACCAAATAGACAGGCTCTAAATACAGCTTTCTTCCTCCGACTAAACTTTTCATGCAAGTTAAAATTTCATACTGATTACAATTACAGCCATTCTCATTCAATCAGGAGTGTATTTTGAAACTTCAATGGCACAAATGACTTGTAAAAAGCTTGGTTGAGGACTCTGAAGTCTTACAGTTGTTCTTGATTTAAA